TTTAGGAAAAGCAATATATATTTTTTAAAAAGATGGACTTTTCAAAGAGAGTTTCTAAATTGAGGCTCTGTGTATAAATGAATCCAAAAACTATCCCACCAATGTCAAGTACAGATTTGTGTGAGAATGAAGGAAAAAAGGAACAAAGAAAAGACACTTAGTTTTAGAATTGTTGCAAAAGAATACAGATGTTTGGGAAGACAAGTATTAGCTTATGCAGAAATTCCTGGGTCGGAAATTCAAGAAGGAATAAGGTAGAGATCTAGTGTGAAAGCTCAGGCAGCGTCTCTAACTTCCAGTGTCCCTGCAAAGGCAGTATGATAGACTCCTAGGTGATGCCTCCCAGGTAGGAGGGAATAGCATAGTCTGAGTTTTCTCTATCACTATCATCTCCCTAACCAATCAATATCACTTCACTAGGAATTCAAAGAAAAGAGTGAACTCCTGACAGGTGAGATACAGAGGTGAGAGTCCAATCTTAGAGTTTCAAACTATATTATGTCTTATAGGTTCAAACTATATTAGGTCCAACCCAGCATTTCTCAAACTGCATTCCACAGAGCACGAATGTCAAGCAAAATATTTACATTCTGGGTCCCAGCAGTGATATCCCTATTATCCTGGCATAGAAAACTATGTCAAATACTGAGGAATTACCGTGATCTGCACATCTCAGAAAACACATTTTCTTCTATGATTTTTAGGAGTAGACGTATTCATATTCTGTTACTCAATGGAAGCCCATAGACTTTGGTCAGACACAAGGCCTACTCTGGTACTTACTGGCTATAGACCCTTAGACATGTTGCTTAACTACTTTGAGCATTAGACTCTTCATCTATTAAAAGAAGATAATAATTAGTACCTTACTTCAAAGAGTGGTAAAATTTAAGTGACAAAATGTAGGGTACATTAAGAAAAACAATGCCAGATACATATGATTGATGCTCAAAAATATAGCCTTACCCCGTGTTATATCTGTTATTCAACAAAGATACTTCAAGCCTTCCACCCACAAGCCAGCAACAAAACAACTCACCTAAAAGTTCAAGGTCCGCCAGGTTGCATGTGGAGTATTCACCTAACTGCTTGCGTGTCCATGTGCACTCAAGTGTATGTAATTGGAACTGGATCTCTAGCCCTGGTAATTATCCACATTCAGCCTGACATAAGCAGTCTGGAGAAACTTCAGAAGATTTGGGAAAGGCCTGATAAAACAAGATCTTTGATATAAGAAGACTTGACAGAGTCTGAAGCTTGAAGAACCGATATTGAGGAGGAACTGGGTTATGTTTATAGTTCTTGCCTAATTGAAATATTTTTATTACAAAGTTCATAATAGTTCATACTTATTTAGTCATTTTTTATCTGTGGATCTCAAACCTTTCCACATCCTGAGAAAATAATATATTTTAGATTAAAGTAAAAACAGGCTGCTCATATTTCTCTTCTAACATTTTTTTATCCATAGCCTGCATTACCTCCCCAAAAGACTTTCCATAACACTAATTGTCATTAGTTCCAACTCTGAACTGCTCTTGATTTTAATAGCTTCCTCTATACCACAAAGGTTTAATAAATGAAATACTGGATTGGTGTAAAATAAATAGAAAATCTAGGATTTTTTAACTTTGGAAGACAACTCTCAGGAAAAGATTTCTTTTTTAGTTTTATAAGGTCTTTTTTTTTTTTTACACAATCCGCCGAGAGAGAACTGCAAAAAACTGACTTTTTAAAAAAATTAAAAGAATGATAACTACTCAGAAGAACATAGAAAGGGCTAAAATAAGCATCTAATGAAATTCAAACCAAACAAGGCCAGTTACTTGAAGTTCGTCCCTTAACATTTCTGGGTCTAGTGTTTTTCATTATAAACAGGAGAAAATCAGCTAGTTCCTAGGTGATATCTTTAGTTCCTTCTAGTTCCATGATCTGGCAAAAAAATACTTTTTTTCTTCTCTTTCTCTTTTTTTTTTTTTAAGATTTTATTTATTTATTTGACAGAGAGAGACACAGCGAGAGAGGGAACACAAGCAGGGGGAGTGGGAGAGGGAGAAGCAGGCCTCCTGCTGAGCAGGGAGCCCGATGTGGGGCTCCATCCCAGGACCCTGGGATCATGACCTGAGCTGAAGGCAGATGCTTAACGGCTGAGCCACCTAGGCGCCCCTCTCTCTTTCTTTTTTAATTCTAATAGCATTTCTGAGCCTCCTCCCTAGTAAACTTCACTGTCCAGTGGAAGATAAAATAAGCTCAAGAATTTCAATGGAACAACTTTTGAAGCAGGAGAGTGTCACCTACTCTGAGGAACAGAACTGAACATTCTGCCTTATTCCCTGTGCCCCATCCTGTGGGGGAGAAGAGGGTTTGGAGCAGTGGTGTTGGTGGATGCTTAATGCATGTGATGCTTCTTGGTAACTAACACATTAGAATAAATTCACTTTTCACTCAGCCAGTCACCAAGAGTGACCTTGAGAGAATGGAACACAAGATAGGTCTTTACAAGACAGGAATGGTAGAAGGAAGATGTTGGTAAAGTTTCTTGGTAAAGTTTCTAAGTATGGTATGCTATTAGCAGAAGAATGAACATCAGGACAGAAGGCTAGAGAAAAAATGTCCCTGGGAAACTGGTAGGCCAGGATGCTGGAAGGTAAAATGAACAATTATGGACTATGAGTGCTCAAAGGATCTCAGAGAGCACCTTCTTTTTAATAACAAAATTTTTCATGAATTATTGTCAATACACACACACTCACATATGATACCTGTTGTACATTTAGTACCTGTTGCATTTTCTTTTTAAAAAATATTAGGAACCCAGAAGTACTTTAAAACAAATATATATTTTGTGAATTTACTACATCCATGACTGTTTGAAAAACAATAATATATGAATCTGAGACAAACAGATGTCATTTTGGTTTAATGGGTGAAGATACGACTACACATTCTTGAGAGACACCAACATGCTTGGTGATGAAATTCACAGTGCCCTGTTAGTATGTGGTACAAGTACCACCCATCTCAAGTGGTGACCTTGATGTCTAGACTAATGTTCAAGCTTCCCAAGTGACAGCATGCCCCAGGTTCCACCTTTCACAGCCATTCTGAGACCCCCACCCCCCACCCTGCGTATGTGGGAGAAAGTGACCCTTCAAAAGCTCCCTATTGTCTGTATACTGTTTAGCCCAAACTTTTTAGTATGGACTAAAACTTTCTCCTGCCTTCCTTATGATATCTCAGCCACAGTCACTCCTCACCCCCACTCCCTTCAGCAATTTAAGTACTTCAGAGCTTCTGTCTTTTGCACCTTCCACCCACCTCTCTATCAGAACACTTACCCATTTCCACTGGCTGGCTGCCTCCCTCCTCCGCTGAGCTCATTCAGCTTTGAGATGGACAACAGGCTAACTGATCTACCTTTCTATGCCCCACTGCACTTTGGCCTCCTGTAAGGCTGAGCCATGTCTTACACATCTTTGTATTCTACTACCTAGTATCACTTATAGCATAAGAGGTGCTTCCTAAGTGTGTATTAAACAAATGAATGGATAAACAAAAGATAGCAAATAACTGTAGAAAAGTATCCCGAGAGTCTAATCAGAGGCCAACAAATCCTAGGTGGAATTAATAATACAATGGCACTTTATTGATAAAACTGAGTCACCTCGTTAAAGCATCATTAAAAACAAAAAACAAACAAACAAACAAACAAAAACCGTAGGCAGAAGACCACAAGAATGCAAGCAGGCTGAGATGGATTGTGTTGTTTAGAATTAGGAAGGGAATGTGCAGTTAGCTCTTTTGCTTTCAGACTTCTCTGTATTGTTTGTTAAACTGGCATCCCCAGCTCCGCATACCGGTGGAAGACCACCACGCTGCAGCCCAGCCTGTGGCTCCTAACTGGCCCAGATCTGACACTCCCAGGAGTGGCCCTTGCGCCATGGGCGTCCCCAGGTTTTGGAAGGCTCCTAATAGCTCCCCAACAGCCCAGGCTGTTCGCCAGCGACGCGTCTGCTCCGGTCCGAGGCACTTCTGCCGTCCCGGGCAGCGAGGACGCTCCGAAGAGAGGTCGTCGGGTTCTCAAGATTTTCTCTCTAAAGATCTAATAGATATCCTTCCGTTGCTTCTGTTTCTGACTTGATTAAAGAGGAGGAAAAGGACAATAAGAAGGATAATAGTAGCGGACGGCGCATCTGGTTTTACTTTTTTCAATTCCGTCAAAGTTTGTGTTTGTGTTTTGTTGTTGTTCTTCATTTGACAGCGATCCCGTGAACTCCTCCTTGGGGAAATGGCGCATCCAAAGCCCGCCAAGCCCAGGCTGAGAGCTCTAGGACTTATTAGAGTAATATTTTAAACAAAACCTCGACAGACAGAAACTCAAAGAAAGCCGTGCGCTCCTTAAGTCAAAGGCATCTGTTCTGATCGCTGCGCTCGGTTTGCTGTTTGTAACCAGCGTTAAGAGCAGGATTTTTAAACATGAAAATGGATAAAAGAAAAGAAAAGCTAAGTCCCGGGGTCCGCCGACTCCCATTCATTATCTCCAACAGCATATGGGACCATTCTCCCACTAGTCCTCGCCCTTTCTTCCGCAAAAGGAAAGGCAACCAAGCCTGTCCCGCTTCATAGCAAACCCACTCTTTGTGCCTGAGCGGTGCCTCGGCCACCGCTACTACTTCCTCCTCCTCCCGCCCCCTTCTCCTCCCGCCCGCCGCCGACTTTCGCTCAGGGAGGCAGGCAGCAGGCGCCCTTTGCGCCGGGAAGCCAGTGCCGCGATTGGGCGACGGTCCCTGAACCTCCAGTTCCGCGTCGGTTTCAAGGCTCCTCCCTCCTGGTGAAAGACAGACTGCGGGGCGCCTGGAAACCGGTCCGAGGGCGCGCGCGAGAGAGGAGAGCGAGCGAGTTGAGGGATTGACACAAATGGTCAGGCGGCGGCGGCGCAGAAGGAGGCGGAGGCGCAGGGGGGAGTCGAGGCCGCTGGGCTGCGGAGAGTTGCACGCTCTACGGCGCCGCGGCCACTAGCGCTGCGCCGCCAGCCGGGAACCAGCGAGCCAAGGGCCAGGAAGGCAGGACGCGACCCCGGCGCGCCGGAGCCACCTGGGCTCTCCCCGCCGCCCACGCTTCATGAATCGCAAGTTTCCGCGGCGGCGGCGGCTGCGGGACGCGGAGCGGGAGCCGGGGGAGCGGGCTGAGCGCGGCTCGGGCTCGACGGAGGGCACCGGCGCGGAGGAGATCTCCCCGGCCGCAGGGGGAGCCGCCGCCGGCTGCGCCACTGCCAGCCGCAGCCGGGCGGCGCCAAGAAAGGAGCCGAGAAAGTATGGCTGAAGAGGAGGCGCCTAAGAAGTCCCGGGCCGCCGGCGGCCGCGCGAGCTGGGAACTTTATGCCGGGGCGCTCCCGGCTGGACGGGTGGCGGAGGGGAGCGGGGACGCGGGCAGCCGCCGCCGCCGCCGCCCCCCAGGTGATTCTGGACGCTTGGCGCCTCGGCTCCTGCTACTGCTTTGGCTCCTGGAGGCTCCGCTGCTGCTGGGGGTCCGGGGACAGGCGGTGGGCCAGGGGCCGGGTCCGGGGCAGCAGCCCCCGCCGCCGCCGCCGCCTCAGCAGCAGCAGAGCGGGCAACAGTACAACGGCGAGAGAGGCATCTCCATCCCGGACCACGGCTACTGCCAGCCCATCTCCATCCCGCTGTGCACGGACATTGCGTACAACCAGACCATCATGCCCAACCTTTTGGGCCACACGAACCAAGAGGATGCGGGCCTCGAGGTGCACCAGTTCTACCCCTTGGTGAAGGTGCAGTGCTCGGCGGAACTCAAATTCTTCCTGTGCTCCATGTACGCGCCCGTGTGCACCGTGCTAGAGCAGGCTCTGCCGCCCTGCCGCTCCCTGTGTGAGCGCGCGCGCCAGGGCTGCGAGGCGCTCATGAACAAGTTCGGCTTCCAGTGGCCTGACACGCTCAAGTGCGAAAAGTTCCCGGTGCACGGCGCCGGCGAGCTGTGCGTGGGCCAGAACACGTCGGACAAGGGCACCCCGACGCCCTCGTTGCTGCCGGAGTTCTGGACCAGCAACCCTCAGCACGGCGGCGGGGGGCACCGTGGCGGAGGCTTTCCGGGGGGCGCCGGCGCGTCGGAGCGAGGCAAGTTCTCGTGCCCGCGCGCCCTCAAGGTGCCCTCCTACCTCAACTACCACTTCCTGGGCGAGAAAGACTGCGGTGCGCCCTGTGAGCCGACCAAGGTGTACGGGCTCATGTACTTTGGACCCGAAGAGCTGCGCTTCTCGCGCACCTGGATCGGCATCTGGTCAGTGCTGTGCTGCGCCTCCACGCTCTTCACGGTGCTCACGTACCTGGTGGACATGCGGCGCTTCAGCTATCCGGAGCGGCCCATTATCTTCCTGTCGGGCTGCTACACGGCAGTGGCCGTGGCCTACATCGCCGGCTTCCTGCTGGAGGACCGAGTGGTGTGTAACGACAAGTTCTCCGAGGATGGGGCGCGCACAGTGGCGCAGGGCACCAAGAAGGAGGGCTGCACCATCCTTTTCATGATGCTCTACTTCTTTAGCATGGCCAGCTCCATCTGGTGGGTGATTCTGTCGCTCACCTGGTTCCTGGCAGCGGGCATGAAGTGGGGTCACGAAGCCATCGAGGCTAACTCGCAGTATTTTCACCTGGCCGCCTGGGCTGTGCCGGCCATCAAGACCATCACCATCCTGGCGCTGGGCCAGGTGGATGGCGACGTGCTGAGCGGGGTGTGCTTCGTGGGGCTCAACAATGTGGACGCGCTGCGCGGCTTCGTGCTGGCGCCACTCTTCGTGTACCTGTTCATCGGCACGTCTTTCCTGCTGGCCGGCTTCGTGTCCCTCTTCCGCATTCGCACCATCATGAAGCACGACGGCACCAAGACCGAGAAGCTGGAGAAGCTCATGGTGCGCATCGGCGTCTTCAGCGTGCTTTACACGGTGCCAGCCACTATCGTCATCGCCTGCTACTTCTACGAGCAGGCCTTCCGGGACCAGTGGGAGCGCAGCTGGGTGGCCCAGAGCTGCAAGAGCTATGCCATCCCCTGCCCCCACCTCCAGGCGGGTGGAGGCGCCCCGCCGCACCCGCCCATGAGCCCAGACTTCACAGTCTTCATGATCAAGTACCTTATGACGCTGATCGTGGGCATCACGTCAGGCTTCTGGATCTGGTCCGGCAAGACCCTCAACTCCTGGAGGAAGTTCTATACCAGGCTCACCAACAGCAAACAGGGAGAGACCACCGTCTGACACCCGGGGGCTCAGCCCATTCCCAGCCGTCGGCTTCGTCCCAGCCATCCCCATAAAGCCGGCCCTGTGGAAGCCTTGCCAAACCTGGCTACTTGAGGCTTCCTCACTAGCCGTTCACTTTTCGCAGGCTCCTTTTTAACAGCACAGCTCCTGCAAAAGCTTCCGTCCCTGGGGTCAAACGGACTGGAGGGCCCGACTACAGCAGGGGGGATAGACAGACCTCTCTCGTTCTCACACTCTGGTACCAGGACTGTACGCTTTTATGATTGTAAATAGCCTGTGTAAGATTTTTGTAAGTATATTTGTATTTAAATGACCGATCACGCGTTTTTCTTTTTCTTTCTCTCCCCCCCCCCATTTTTTTTGGTTTTGTTTAAATTTTAATTATTTAGGGCCGTTTAACCATTTGAAGCTTTTCCTTCTTTCCCTTTTCAAAGCACTGCAGAGGTAAAACGCGAGCTCGCGGTGCTCTCGCTTGTTCTGGCGCGCCCCTCCCTGCGGCAGTCCGGGTGCGTCTGGGACTGAGGGGCCTGGGTCACTTCCCGCCTCCTCTTTCTACTCCCCCCTTTCCCTTCAGTGCTTGGGGTCAGGTTTCTTTAGATACAGAACTCCACGGAGCTTCCAAATCGCGGGGGGGGGGGGGGGGGGGGGGCCCCTCCGCCCATGCGGGGTGTTTCCTTGTGGGGGGGGGGGGGCAGATTATGAAGGCCTTGTCCCTTTGACTCTCCGAAACTGAATTTTTCACCGTCCAGAACCCCGTAGCTTCGAGGAGGCCCCCTGGACATGGGCTGTGGCAGTCCCAGCCTTCCTCCACACTGGCCTCCCGACTCCCAGGCACTCCCTCCTTCCACCTAAGTTGGTTAGAGGGTGAGTGGGATAACCATTGCCAAACTTTTTCATGTCTAATTTTTGGGGGATGAGCTCATTTCATTCTCTAGTGTCTAAAACCTGGTATGGGTTTGGCCCACGTCATGGAAAGATGTGGTTGCCGAGATTTGGGAAGAGGTACGAAGCTTTGTGTGGGTTGGGAGAGACTGAAGATGGGGGTTGTAAAGTGTTAATTCTAATTGCATACTGATGCCTGGCAAACTGCCTCTAGGACTGAGAGCCCGCATTTCGGTTTTACCTTCCTGTAAAATGGAAACATTCGGTCACCTGGAAAGCTTTGTTAAGGAGTTGATCTCTGCTTTCCTTAAGAGGACAGCAGGACCTAAGCTGAATAGGAAAACTTGAAGGAGATTTCGGTGTAATGGACTTCCTCCAAATGAAGTGCTCCTTTCTTTTAACCAAATAATAATTAGACATATATGAGAAACTTTACAATGTAAAAGTTGTATACTTTTCAACATGTTATGATGATGATTATTCAGCAACACATTTTGAGGGAGGAACAATCCACATCACTAAAAATAACCTTGTAAGATGCCAGGAGGTAAAGAAGGTGGAATAATTGATGGGGTTAGCTCCTGAAACAAACAAAATATGGGCATGCATGGTAAAGGGAAAGTGTGTGCAGTTCTCCTGCATTGAATCCTGTGTGCTCCTTTTTGGATTTACAGAAATGTGTCAAATGTAAATCTTTCAAAGCCATTTAAAAATATTCACTTTAGTTCTCTGTGAAAGAGAGGAGGAAAGCAGTCCTTCTGATTGTATTGTTTTAAATTTTAAGAGTTTATCAAAATGCCGGTACTTAGGACCTAAATTTATCTATGTCTGTCATACCCTAAAATGACAATGGTCTTTGGATTTGGTATGCATTCTGTTCACTCTCACAAAATCATCTATATTTATAGAGGAATAGAAGTTTATATATATATATAAAATACCATATTTTTAATTTCACAAATAAAGTTTTGTACAAAATTATATGGTTTTTGTGCCTGAAAAAATAGAACTGGAACTGTCTGAACTATCTTTGCATTTTATAGTGTCTCATAGCCAACCCCAGAGTATATAAATTCAGGAATTCAATGAAAAAGTCTGTCCTTACGCATTCACACCAGTGCTCGCTTCGGCAGCACATATACTTACTTACACATTCACACCAGCCCTTAAAGAAGTGTCCTACTTGCAGTGTTGCGACTGACATTGCCAAGTTCCTAGGCAACATCTGCTTTCATGACAGTAACGATATAAAATAGAAGTTTCCAAATTATTTCTTTACTCAAAGAGGATAATTAAAAAGAGAACTCTAATTTTAATATTAAAGCTTTTTTTTTTCCTTTCAAGGGGTAAATTTACATGACTTTTTATAATATGGAGGTTTATTTAAATCATCAGGCACCACCTTGGTCACGATTTTTTTGAGGTACTGTCTTTTTTATAATCTTGGATATTCCAAAACCATAAGTGGGTAATAAATGGTTAACGGACTGTGTGTTTATTAGCATTTTAAACAGTAGTTGGGCGTATAAGGTTGTTTTTGTTGTTTGCTTCAGAAGAACCCATTTTTATATTGTTCGAGGAACCTTTTCCAGAGAAATTATCTAGTTGGTCTACTCTTAGTCAGAATTTATATATATATATATATATATATATATATATATAGTGTGTATATGTGTGTATATACTTATGTATATATGGATCTATATCTATAGATCCATATATACATAAATATATATACACAATTTTTATAAAATAGAGGTACAAAGTTTACTTACATATTTTACAATATGGAAATAAGGTTATGAGAAATGGAAAATGCCAGATGGAAAACCTCAAATACCTTTGGAAAACAAGTCTCTTATTCCTTTACAGACTAAAAATATTTATATTAAATTTTCCCATGAAAATATTTTGTGATAAAATGGCAAGGAACTAAAATGAAGACCATTGATAAAATCGAGTTACTTTCGTGGTTATAACACAATTGTCTTTTAAGTCATTATTATTTTAAGACAAATGAAAAAATTAAATCTAATTGAAAATACAGCATTCAACTTTAAGTAGCAAGATGCAATTTTATGGTCTTTTTTTCTTTGTTTCAATCTACCGTAGTAGATATCTGAGAAGGTTTTATTGTGTAGACGTTTTAAAAAAAACAATTCTTAGGCCAAATTAAAACATGTCTCCTCTTTAGGTATTTCAATCAGATAATTTCTGGGGAAAAAATTTAAGATTATTAATCTCAATCCAAGAAATAAATATAAGGCATTCTTATTGTGGGTGTCCTTATAATGATGTAACTAAATTTGATGCAGAAAGGTTTTATAATGCTGGATTTAAATAGCCTTAAGAGACATTTTTAGGTGACCATCAGGCTTTGTTTTTAGGAAACAACTTATTTAAAATTGTATAGCATATAGAAAGCCAGTGTATTCTTTTGTTTCTTTCCATACTAGTGGCAAAACAAGACTTCCCTGGAAAACCATAAAGGTACCCGGAATATGGTCCCATTAGCATGCTGTTTCCATGACAAACCCTATTTTCAGATGGTCTGATTTGCCTATTTTTTTTTAAACCGGCTATCAGTTGGAGTCAATTTTCCCCCTCACGGTGTGCTTGATTCAGCTTTTATAGTAAATGTATACAGAGTATGAAAGCCTTCTGATGCTCTTTAAAAAAAAAAAAAAGGCCATTTTTTTTTTTTACTTAAACTTTGTGGGAGCAGAAAGTCTTATTTTTAATCTCAGAGCCAGCCAGTGTCAAACATTTGCAAAACAGCTGGACCAGATTTTTCGGTGTGTCTGGGGTAATCACTTGTCAGCCTAGGTTTACAGTCCTGATGCTTTCGTCTCCAAGCAATGAAGGCTCCTGCTGTAGTTACATCATTCCTAAAGTCCAGCATTTAACTAGGACAAGAGACCACAGTGAAGAGTTGGTGGCCAATTAAGAAAAAAACTGCCAAAACCACAAACCATTTCAGGACTTGGGTGACTCCAGATCACTTTCACTGATACCATGTTTTAATCTTTAAAAAAATTTTTTTTTGGAAGATGCCATATTTTCAGGGTGTGTGTGTTTGTGTTCAACTCCAGCTACTCTTACCTTCATTGCTTTCTAATCTGTCAACTGGCTATAGGCCACAGTTTATGTAATGTACATGCAATTAATTGAAACCAGTGGTATCACACTGGGTATCTCTGATACATTTCTGATTATAACACTCTGTGTAACTGGCGCTTGAGAGCTAAGAATCAAAATGTGGTCATTACATATGTCTTGAGGTGGACGCTAGTGATATTGTTATTGAATACTTCACAGAATATAGTAATTTCAAAGTCTTGCAGGATTAGTCTGTAGAAGCCGAAATAAGATGCAGAGTACATAGAAGAATTCTCCAGTTATATTACTAAAAAGGAATTGCAATACTACCTTAAATTTGAGACTTTTATTTTAAGGCCCTGACATTTGAAATGAGGTCTTACAAGATATGTGCCAAAAAAGGTGAAGGGTTTTTTTTTTTTTTTTTTTTGGTGACTCCTAAGACTTACACCTCTATTTTGAAATGTTGGCATATGCTAATAGCCCTTAGAATTTGAAAAACAGTAGTTGAGCTTCAATCATGACTAATTTCCTTAAACTTGTTGGGCTTAAATATTTCTGTTCACTTTGGTCATAGCTTTTGACAATGGATTTATTAAGCCATAACAATTATAGTAACAAAATAGCTTATTTGGAACCTAGTGACTAAAAGACAGGTTAAGCTCTAGACCAATTTTCTTAAGTAGTATCATGATGTGTGGTGACAGCTGTCTCTACCCCATTACAGAACCAAGTTCCTGTCTAAGACTCTCCTGTTGGAGATTTTTGTTTATGAGTTGGTTTGAGACACAAGTAACAGGTCAAATAAGAGGATTTCTCACAGAAATCTTTCTCATGTAGTGAATTGGCTCAAGTACAATCTATAAGCACATCCCACAATAAACATACAATGAACAGTCTGAGGGTTATCAGTCTTGTAGGTCAAGCAGATTCTTAAATGGCTTGAAGAAAATAAGATATTTTTCGGTGAGATCTCTCTAAACAAATTCTTTTATTTTAAGATGGTGATATTCTAAAGAGGTCTATTTTTGAGTGATAATTCAAATAACACTGCATTTCCTAAAGGAATCATCAATAAACTAGTTGAATGGCATATTTGTATAACTAATAATTTTAAAAATCAAGTATTGGAATAGCACTAATTTTGCACATTTTACAGCCATGCTATTTTTTTTAAATAAAATTGACTTGAAGACAATAATTTTAAGTTTTAAAATTTATAATATGCATTTCTCATGTGAAGATCTCAAGAAATTTTATTCACAGGACGACTTACAAAACATGTTCCTAGGAATATAGTGATGAACATGAAAAGGAACCACTCTTGCTGCTTTGAGGTAGGTTCTTTGTGGCCTGAATTTCTTTTCTTTCCTTTTTAGAAACCAAGTATCCTCCAATTTGTAGATATCTCCATGTTTCAGATCTCAACACCTGTTTGATTTAAATTTGCAGGGGAATAACTGCAGGATCCCCCCATAGACAAAGTGTGGCCTTCGTTTACTTTCAAGTTGGCAGCATGTCCTTGCTTAAATGAAGCACTCTGAGAGATTGTTCTCTTGCCCTTGGAAACGCTCATCTTCACAAACACAGCAGCAAATACCTGGAAGTCATATAGGCTAGTTAAATGCATATTCCAAATGCC